AGGCCATGTATATGCTATGTACTGCTGTGTATATGTAGCCCGTAGGCCATGCATAATTCGCAAGCTATGTACTATTGTGTATATGTAGCCCGTAGACCATGTATAATTCGCAAGTTATGTATATGCCCGAAGGCGGTGTGTGCTCTGTGAATACATGTATCCAGATGTATAGGCAGATCATGTGTGTATATCGAAGAGAGAACGGGGCAAGCTGGACAGGGACCCCGCCGAACCAAGCTCGAACCTGTGACCTTGAAACATGTAATGGTATGACTCTACCGTATGAACAACTAGTGGAAATGGCACGAAAGTTTGATATGCCAGACTGGGGAGGGAGATCAACAGAACACCCAAGACTAACACCCCCAAGCAGCCCATGTGAAACCCAGAACCTACATACAACACCATGAACAACCCTTGGGTGGTGCGCAGGCAGTGTCTGTAATAGCTTACCTGTGTCATCCCAAGGGGGTGTGTGTCCAGCCGTGCGTCATTCTAACGCCCTGCCGGTGTCCATGCGCAAGGTTACGGATTTGAATCCGCAACCTCATACCACAACGCGCATTTCTAACCGGTGCTCTAACCACTGAGCTACATCAACTGGACTTTACGTGGAGTCTTCGTTTCTGCTGGCCAGAAAAAAACTAATAGCCCAGGCTACCGGTATCGCGGCCTCACCTCGGTCCGCGGAACGTCTGGCTTGCATCATGGAAGTTGGGCCGTGGAACCTGGGCTTAAGTTGGGCCGTGGAACCTGGGCCTAAGTTGGGTCGTGGAACGTGGGCCTAAGTTGGGCCGTGGAACCTGGGCTTCGGAACTTGGGACTTCAAAGATGGAGTCACTGCTACGCGCCGGTAGGCCACGCCACACAGAATCCGCTCAGATCACATTTTTATGCAATCTCACAAAACCGGGGGTCTTTTTGGCGGGAGGGTGGACGGGCAGGCGGCCGACCTCCTCAGCCGAGCCTCCTATCGGTAGCGAGGTACGGAGAGCGGGAAGAGGTGAGGTGTGGTAGGTGTCTATCTCCGCGTCGACACGTGTCACGGTTCTCTTCTGGGCGGGCAGTAAGCTCTCCGTCAGTAGCCTCCAGTAAGAAAGAGGGCGGGCAGTAGGCTCTCTGTCAGTAGCCTCCAGTAAGAAAGAGGGGTGGGTCACCAATACGGCTGAAGGTGTTCAGAAAACACAGTTGGGGATAGGTTCGGGGTTGGCTAGGATCAGCGTTGGGTGTTCCGATCGGGATCTTTGTCAGCTGCGAAGATGCTAGGGCGGATATCCTGCCGCCACAACCATCGCACACGTCAGCACGGGTAATCAATCAGTCAGAGAAAGACATCGCCGTAGGCTCGCGACGGTCTGTAATCAGCTCTTGTTGTCCATTCCTCGACCAATTGCCGTCGGTGTGCTCTAATCTCTGTAGTCAGCCCTTGGGTCAATCAATCAATCAATCAATCAATCAATCAATCAATCTGTCGATCAGTCAATCAATCTCTTGAGTGAGAGAGGCGCACAGAGGCGTTTACAAGGAACACACCGTCTGTGTGTGTGTGTGTGTGTGTGTGTGTGTGTGTGTGTGTGTGAGAGAGAGAGAGAGAGAGAGAGAGAGAGAGAGAGAGAGAGAGAGAGAGAG